ACAATGTGCTCTCAATCCGGTATCGAGTAGTGAAAAGAGATCAGCACATCCAAGCAGAACGGTTGGTTGAACAGTCTTGATGGAGGGATCAATGGAAAGATGCATGTGGTTTTCCAACAAGAATTCCTTATCTTCTTTGCTGAGAGTGTTGCGAGGTAGCGGTGCTGTGATCCTGTCAACACGGGTGACTGTGAAAGCATGCAGATCGCCTTCGAGATCCCATATTTTCAATGTCGTTATGCCACCGGTCATCGTAGTTGGCTTTTCTGAACCGAATGTGTTAATGTTTAGCGTCACAGTGTTGATATCGTCGAGTCGAAGTCGGTGAGCCAATTCACTGCTGATGAATGAGCGATCCGCCCCTGTGTCGAACATGATGTGGATATCTTCACACGCTCCTGTGGAAGGATTCAACCCTTGAGCCTGTCCAACTAGAATTTGGGTTTCTAGCTTGTCTTCTGTGTCACTGGCATGTTGCGCGCTATGTGGAATTAGTTTCAAGGGTTCATTGAGATTCGGCGTCGTGTATTGGTCGATGAGGGATGCTTGATCGGTTGTGGCTTCCTGGAACTGTCGGATGAGGTCTGTTTTTGGCGAGTGACTGTCTGGTTGTTTGGGAGGCTCAACCTTTTACAGATAGAAGTATGATGGCCCGTTCTTCTGGCCATAACTGCAGGCCCTCTTGGCAGACTAAGCCTTTGTGATCCTTTCCGCCACAGTTATTGATTCAGAGTATTTTTTGCTCTCATATTCGAGTCGCTTCTCAATGTTGTGGCTTTCGTTGCAGTCCGTGGTTTATGTCCACTTTTCCCGCAATAGAAGCAAGAGTTCTGACGAAACTGGCGAGCCGTAGTCTCGTGAGGGATGTTTGACATCGTCCGTGTGGTGTCTCTGGTAGTCCATTGTTTCATTTGATGGGATATTCGGATCTCATCTTTGATGTATTCTTTTGCTGCTAACAGTAGCGATTGGGTGTCCCATGTGCCGTCGGGCTTCTGTTTTGACTTTTGTCTGAGGATGTATCTTTGGACGTCAGGGGAAAACTTGCCAAGTAGGAGTTTCTGTAGAAATACGTTATCGACGTGCTCGTTCTTGATTCGCAGTTGCGAGATGATGGAATCTAGTTTTTCGCAAAGACTTTCCTGATCTTCTAAGCGATTACTTCGAGCCTGTGTCGCTTGAAGATTGCAGTAGAGTCTCTCAATTAATGCTTCCTCAATTGTCGCCTATTTTTTCTTGGAGGTACTATTTACAGCGGGTAGGTGTGCCTGAAAATTCGAATTGCTTTTACTGTTCGTCATATGATTCTCCCTTCGAGGGCATCCAGAAGGTAGTTGAGTTTGTAGAGGTCATCGATGTTTCTGAAGTGAACGGTGTGTTCGAAGGTTTTCCAGAATGTTTCCCATTCCCAAATCTCGCCACAGAATTTGGGGATGGGGATTGGAGCTAGGTTCATTTCCAGTACTTTAGTTGCAGTTGGGGAACTTGGTACTTCAGAAGATCGACTGTCTTGCCTGAAGTAAGGTTGGAAAGGTTGTTGTGCGCATCGTTCTGGGTTCGTCCAGCAGTTGGCCGCCGTCCCCTGAGATTGTTCGGCCCTTTCTAGGCTTTCCGACCGTCCCTGGTTCTCTTATTAAATCCAGGCTGTCGGCAGCATTGATGTACTTCTCCAATGCTGTTTCTACCTTGGCCGATTCAAGTTCGATTGCTCTTTTGGCTTTGTCGATCCTCTTTCTGAGCTCGTCACGGTCTTCTTGTTCCACTGCATCGCCTATTCGCAGTGTAATAAGATCTGACGCACTTCTCAGAACAGAGGCTAGCCTGTTCAATGACCGCCTCAGGATTCCTTGGCGGTTACTTAGAGAGAGAGACATTTGAAGTTACTCACGGTTCTTCGTTGCACCGGTCTTGCTTTCAGTCTTCTTGTTGGTCGTGTTGGGCTGTCTTGGCTTTCTTTCTCTTCTTGTCTCGGGCTTCCTGTGCACTGCAGACGTTAGTCGGCCGATACACGCAGTTTTGATGTGCGGTTGCGTGTAAATGAACGATGTGGACTGGCCGTGTGGAGGCCCAGATGAGTGAGAGCGAAGTGGTGAAGAAGAAGAAGAAGTGTTTTATTAGGATCCAAGCACCGACCCCTTTTTATAGGGCAGACAACACAACAACCATTTATCACTGTATTTGTTGTTGATCATAGTCTTCTCAGAATAACACCGGTCGGTGCGGTGAGGTTCATAGAGGATTCTCTGTGTTGAGGATTCTCTATATACATCTCCCACAACGGGGTCGTCTATAGTATTAAGTCTCGGGGGGTTCAATATTTTTCAGAGAAAATGATCACACACGCGATGGCGTGCCCTGTCCGCCACATACCGACCCGGAAGCCCACCGCGTCTAACCTCCTCCGAAGTGAAATATGAAAAGAATGGGCTAATATATGAAGCGGCTGTGGTGCTGCATGGATATATGGGTACACTCATGCAGCCGTATCTAGCTCTTATTGGCATGATGGCAACGGGAAACTCGTCCAGAATTGCTTCCTGAGTCGTACAGAACAAAGCTTTTACACTCTAGTTCGCTGCGGACGGTTGGGCGTGTCAGGCAGTATGAGTGTGTCACCCCGTCAAAGCCGTTCTCTGCCTTCTTGTTGAAGCGCGCATGCGACAAAAAGTGGTAGAAAACGAGTAATACGAACGATATGATACAGTCATATCATTTGCTCGCTTTAACAACTGGTGGAGAACGGGTTTGGCACCGCGCCAAACTCATCCCGCCTGACACGCCCAACCGTCCGCAGCGAACTACACTATAGTAGATCTTGACCATTATACATTCGCTTTTTCGCCATTTCCAATATAGGGCACCCCTGCTATCATTTTAGACCAGGTACCTATTATCGTGCTTTGTGCTCTCAGCTGCCTTTTTCTGTTGAATATCGAGATCCATTTTCCTGATTCTTTCATGTTTAGATCTCGTTCGCGTGATCGTCGCCGTTCATCAAGGGATCGTCGTCCGTACCGTGATCGTGACCGTCGTTCTCGATCTCGTCCTCGTGTCATTGACCATCGTGATCGACGTTCGCCAATGCGGAGATCGCCACCGCAACGAAGTCATTTTCCTCCTTCTAGAAGCAAGATATTTCTAATTGAATATACAATATATAGGATAATATAATATGAGCTACTTCTACGAAAGTGTCTATTATTTCAGATCGTCTTCCCGGTCCGGAGCGACGTGATGTTATGCCATTCACAGCTCGGAATTCTCCACCACGTGGTGCAAAACTGGACATGAGTGCAGAGGAAAGAGATCAAAGGACATTGTTCATTCTACAGGTGAGTGAGAATGAACCAGACCACGACACTTCAGCTGTTACTGCCGCGGATCCTTAAACAGGTTTCGCGAAAACTTTGTCTATAGAAGTCATTTGCTGCTGAGATCTCAAGTATGATATACCTCTCTGAGGAAGGCGCTAGTCATCTGTTGCCAAGCGAAGTTTTTTTTTGTCATCAAAGATGACGTAGAGTTACGTAGAAAAGCTGTTTGACTTCCTGGTTACGAGGTCCGCTTTTAGGCAGCGTTCAGACTTCGCGACGGCAGCGCTTCGGTCGCGCGTTCGACGCGATCGATGCAGTCGAAAGCATGCGCATCGATCGCGCCGAACGCGCGACCGAGGCGCTGCCGTCGCGAAGTCTGAACGCTGCCTTAAGCCAGAGCCGTTTGGCACCAGCATCGTGTCTGCGCTATTTTGGCGCGACAATTTTTCTCACAGAAATCGCTATAGACTCGAATTGTAAACACTACTTATTATTTTTGGCGCCGCTTCCATTCGACCGCATTCTAACGCCGCTACTTTTCGCCGCCTGCATGCGACATTGCGTGTGATATAAGAATTTGCTGGTGAATATTCATTTCCTTTAGCCGTTAAAATTGATCTCTTATTCCTTGACTGGGTGACCAAATAACTTTATGAGCAAACGGCCAGGAAATTGAATTTCGGGGGTTTTGAGTAGTAAATGCTGGATAGTTTTGAAAGTTGCACTCGTGGCATGTCACTCAAAACCCATTAGTGAAATTTCAGACGTTCTTTGTTCAGTGTAGTGGATTTAGTCGTTCGTGTGTTCTGGCTCCCAGGTGACGTACCTTGGGGAACTGGGAGGTTTAGTCGGAAAGTGGGAAAGTTTGGGAGCATGATCGATAAATTTAGGATAGGGGAGGAGTAGTACTAGAGGAAGATTTCGAGACGAACAGAGACGAACGGATTGTATTTGCGAACAGATTCCCCAACGGCAGGACGTGGCCTAGTCAATTCATCGGAAATGGCCATTGATTGCCTTTGTGCGCTGAAACTGACTTTTGTTTAACACGTTCCGGACCGCGTGAGACACATGGTGTGTCATGATTTTGTCCCTATGCTGGGCTTCACTTCAGTAATTTAGTCCGAATCTGAGTCCCGCAATAAATTTTGGCGCCTCTTATATGTGTTTAGCATTCAGATTGCAAGGAGGCTCCGGCTAATGCCGTTTAGACTCCAGAAATTTCGGCTCCGAGCTCATTTTCAAATTGCCTAAGCCACCAAATCCACTAAAAACTTGTATATAGGGGTAATTCAACATCCTGATTACGAGTATGACACTCATTCTTGGCGCTGGCGCCAAGAGAGGACACTACGATTACCTCCTGGGCTCAGCCTTAGCAGAGCGCAGGTAACCGTAGTGTCATCCATTAGCGCCAGCGCCAAAAATGAATGTCATATTCGTGATCAGGATGTTGAATTACCCCTATATACAAGTTTTTAGCGGATTTGGTGATCTTGCCACTTTTAAAATGAGCTCGAAGCCGAAATTTCTGGAGTCCAAACGGCATTAGCCCGAGGCTCCGGGACAGCACAATTTTAACATTACCATGACCATTGACCATTACAGTTTCATGAGAAATAAACAGCATAATACTAACCTAAGAGTTTTTGTCCACTGAGCGCTAATCCAAGGGGAACACTTTCCTCCTCCCAAAATTCGACGTAGGCAATTCCTTTTGATCGTCCTGTTCGTGAATCAGTGATAATTCGCACATCTCGTACACTACCCACAGCACTGAAGAACTCCTCGAGATCACGTGGTCGAGTTTGTCGAGCTATCTAAAACAATAATGAATGAGGCAGAGCACCACACCTCACATGCGGCCTCAGAAGGCAGCCTCAATTCCTAACCGTTCTCTTACAGGGTGATAATTAACACATTGCGGACATTTTTCATCAGTAATTCGTCTGCAATTTCCTAAATTTTTTCAACCGCTTATGGGGGTAAGCATTTCCTGTGATTGAGAATGTGTTTTGACAGTTTCAGAACATGAATGGAAAGCTAAAT